TGGTCGTAACCCGAAAAGTTCGTTAACAGAGGCGTTCGTAACCCGAGGTACCACTGTATATGATTGGAAACTAATTATTGAAGATATGAATTTAGGTAGTACATTTTATTTCTCTATCCCCACACAAATGATTTATTATGAAGACTGATTATCAAGACACAACTTTACAGTTTACTTCAGGCATTGATTAGGCCAGCAAAGACTTAGCATGGAAAGGAGGTTGCTTTCCTAATTTGATGCTCTCCAGAGATGCTCTCTGTGTAAATCCACAGCATCTATAATTCCTAGCCAATATCCATGATGGTTGAGGGTAAGGGTCATAATATAATATATCTGAAGGATCCAGGTTGGATAAGAATGAGCTGGTTAACATAACAAATTATTCAGGAACTCCATACTGATGTCCTAACTGCACAAACAGCTTTTGTGCAACTCCCAATTTTTATCGAGTAACAATAGCATTAAATGGGTGCATATGCAGTGTCATCCCAATGCAGCTGATGTTGGATGGGATGTTCTTTGCATGGATGAGCTCCTTGCACCGGTGGAATAAGTTTCAATCCAATTTTCCACTCCTTCTGCAGTCCCCTGTGCTATCACTACATTATTCCTCCAAGTTCCTCAATCATTCATGGATTTCCAAAAGGAGCAACAAGCTACAGGGGAATCAATGGTGTATTTAGCAAACTCTACTGAGGCAATGGAGTTCCTCAGCGGAATCCAAGCCATTATCTGTATCATATAATTAAAAAGTATTGTTCAGAAAATTATTCTTTATATTGGTTAAAATGAATTGAAAAGTCAAGGCAACATCAAATTTAGCTGCACTCCTGCCCATGTTGTTTTCTTGGCAACTGTAAGGAAAGGATTGGTCACTGCCTTCTGGGAATACTGTTCAACTTCCCAGTCTAGTCTACAATTTTCTTGGTGGTCTCCCATTCCTGCTTAGGTTTTTCAAGATTTGCCAAGGTTGGCTAGATGTGGCCATCTTCAGCAAAGAACTGAAGTAGATATGTCCAAAACATTCAGTTCAGAGCTGCCCTATGTCCAGTACTCTTTGAAACTAATTCTTATCCTGATTTATTTGCAGAAAACTACCAGTGACTCCAGGATAGCTAGAAGAAGCATGGTGTGGAAGAAAATAGAGTGTTTTGGAATATCCCAACTGTTTTGTCACTAGTACAGAACATTTTGTACACTTGTGGTCCTCAGTCTCCTAAAATGTTATATTAATAACAGTCTCCTAAAATGTAAAATATTAAGGAGACCTATAATACCAGTAGA